ATGGATGTGAGTCTTATTGGGGCCTCAGTGTTATCTTTCTTGCTTTCTTGATAACTGTATCATATTTTTATTCTTATTCACTGCCCAGAGTTCCTTTTGGTAGATGGGTGGTCAAATAAAAATCATGTTCATTTTCTCCCAAAATTCACGCTAGTTTTACCTATTCAACAAGCTCTTCTCTGTTGGTTAGGATAAGATCTAAGATAGTTGATCCCCCTGGCTGTTCTTCCACCTTCTGGAAAATGAAACAAGTCAGCAAGACTATTCAGGAATTTTGGGGACCTTGCAGCCTTGGCTGAATTGGTTTTCCAACAGATGTCTGAGTAGTTAAAATCTCCAATTACTAAGTTTCTTCTCCCAGAAAGTTTTGTAACCTGGTCCAGAAGGGCATTATTGAGATTTTCTGCCCATCTTGGTAGTCTGTAGCCCATTCAATAATATATTTCCTGTTTCTTGAAGTGTTACCTAAATGCTCTTGACTGACTCTCATGATAAAACTTTCAATGCATCTGTGCCCTTCTTTATATATGATATAAATTCCTCCTCTCTTTTTGTCTGGCCTATGTTCTTTTGAATAAGCAGTATCCTTTAGTTCTTGCATTCCAATAAAAAATGTTATCCCATGAAACTTCAGTAATGCCTATTAAATCTTCTACTTTTCAAGGTACTCTATGGTGCCAGTTTTAAAAGCATTGATCTGGCTTTTTGGGTCAGTTCAAAGTGTTTGTTTCACTTTCTAAAGTCCTGCCAATTGAGTATCAGGATGCTTCAATTTGTTTACTATCAGATTATTATTGTTGTTGGTATATGCTTCAATCTTCCCTAATGATTCTTTTGTAAACCCCCCATCAGTTGGTGCTGAACAAAATACAACTTGCGGTGTTCAGAATTTGTAATTCCCTTACCAAGGAAGCTGAAGTAATGCCTATTCTGTTATAAAATAAGATGAAATTCCTTTATATCTATTTAGATTTCTAAAGATGTAGATATTTAGAATGCTAACTTTAAACAAATGTGATCCTGGTTTTTAACACTGGGATTCTTGTTATCCCATTGCATATTTTCAGCATATTAGTGATTTTGGTTTTACTTGTTAATTTTTCACTGCTTTGGGACTTTTGGGATTGGGGAGCAGGAAATAGTAAACAAAGTAAACTCTTTGTTCACTTTGGCTGTAAAAACCATGAGTCTTAATATTTTTTTCCAGCAATCAGTGCGTTGAACTGTTTTTATCTTAAGTCTGTAAAACTGGGGAGACACTAGGATAGTGAGGAAAGGCAGACATAATTGTCAACCTGGTCCTATACCATGATCAAGCCATTTGTTCATTGGCTCTGCATCTTTACTTCAGAATGACCACCCTACCCAGATAGAAATGTCCTTCTCCCTTGTTCTGAATTTAAGCAGGAAGGGAAAGCTGTGTATTACTGTTTAACATAGTTTATGCTTTATTGAAGTTTCAAACAAGAAACACACCATTTTATCAGTATATGTTATAAAGCAAATTATCCTAGCTAACTGTCTCCTCTTCTTCCAGCTGGAGCATAAAGCCCAGGCTTGTCCAAAACAATAGGGAGCAGGGGAAGCTCATGAAGCGCATTAAGAAATGTAAGAAGCTGCTTTATATTCAGTCACAGCATTCATCCATGTAGCTAAGTACAGATGGCCCTGACTGGCAGTAGCTTTACAAATGATCAAGCAGGACTTTTCTCTGCCATACCCAGAGATGCCAAAGCTTGAACCCGGGATCTCTGCATGCAAAGCAGGTGCACTGCAATGGAGCTTTGACCATTATTCAGTGGTGCTTATTACCAAGTAACTATGCAATTCAATCTTCCCCATGTTTAGCCAGGAGATAAGCTCTAGTAGCATTACAGTCATATATTAGCATTAGAGTTATAAATGCCTCACTCTGCATCTCATTCTGACCAATGAGATTTACATCCAGCTTCGTGTGCAGAGGTTTGCAGCCGTGGAACCAATGCTAATTTGCCATCTTCACAGATACAGAAATGTGCAAAAGGTATCTGGAGTTTAGACTATTTGAACAGAATAGGAGGCAACTGGAAGAAAGAGAATGAGCTACTTTCTCTTCCTGGAAAATGGGAAAAACAGCATCTTTAACTTTTCCTCACTTTGTAATAGACAAGGTTGGATCACAGCTGGCTTCACCTTTTACAGACACAGCCAAAAGTATTGGTACCCCCCACTTTTTCCAAAAGAATCCCAATTTGCCATGAAATAAGTTGAAACTGACACAACTAAATGGTACCCACCATTCTTTATTCCATAGTTCATATATCAGACACGTTGCTTTTGATGTATGACTTAACAGCTTCAACTTATTTCACAGCAAATTGGGATTCTTTGGAAAAAAGGTGGAGGGGTACCAATACTTTTGTTCACATCTGTACAAGGCTTTTCGTTCATGTTGCACTAGGTGCCCTCTTACAGTACGTCAGGGAAATTCTCCTGTGTAATTAGCATTACACCAACAAGAAGAAGAGTCCAGCCCCATTGGGATTGTCTTGCTCAGGGCAAGAGCACTTCTCACATACTCCAGCACAAGCACAAGGTACCCATCATTAGTGGAGAGCAGGAATGCATGATGCTACTCTCCACCCACCCCCAATCAGAAGCTAATGCAACCTCTGTTCATGCTTTCTGGCTCTGCCTAGAAGTAGTTGTATCTGTCCTGCTGCCCAGTTCATGTAATTCTTTCTACACTATAACTCCACTTCAGTTGGTTGCTGTGGCCTGCAAATGGAATACCTCCTTCCCTTCCATCGCTGATTCATGTGTACTGCATGATTACTGTGCCCTAGGATACAGGGCTGCACAGTTCTGTCCTGGTGCTCCATCTGTTTCTTTCTTTTACATTTTTGAACCCCCTCTAAAAAAACATGGAATGTCTAAACAATGACATAATGAACTGAGCTTCTTCCTTTTAATGAGTCTATCAGTTGATTCTTGAGAAGATGCAGTCTTCTTTTTAGCTCCAAAGTAACTTGTACTCTGGAAGGGGTCTTTTTAGGGAATGCATGAAGAGTTTTCTGTCATGAGACCACTTTTCTGTCTTGCTCAAAAACAGCAATCAGCTTTGATGAGCATTTCAATGAATCACCATTGCCCCATGATAATTAGTCCACTTATTCCTTTATGTTCTATAATGCTACCTTGCAATCCTGCAGTTTACAGTACTAATTCCATTTCTTCAGTTAGTATAATTAAGCTTTACTACTACTACTTACTCAACATTAACCAGAGAATGCAGGACTTTGGAGATGGGGCACTGTTTGCTTGGAATAACAAAACTCTGTAGAAACTTCCACTGAAAGCACTTGAGGAGAAGGAATTGTGGGCTTTAGGCATGAACGTCCATCCATAGGCAGTGTAAACTGGGGATGATGCAGGGATAGGAGGGGCAGCAGCAGGGGAACTGTCCAGTGAGGGCTCATAGCAGCCCACAGTCCAGATTAAACACCTTGCCAGCCCTGCTGCTCGAGTGTCACAATCTAGATGGAATTTGCAGGCCAGAAGCAGCTTGAGGCTGTGATGCAGAATTGCCATCAAGGTGTTAATGGAAACAGCGCTCCAGCAAAGAATCAGACAACTAATGCTGGAAAAGCCATCCTTGAGATTGCCCACGTTGCCAGGTCTCGGTAGCTGTCTAATGACGTAAAACTTGGGAAGAGTGCAGGAAACAGGAGCTGCTGAGGAAGGATTTGTACTGAAGATGCCTAAATCGGTAGGAAAATAGTACCTTCTCTAGCCCTCGGATTGCTCTTTTGGGGCCTTTTGAATTCAGTGTAACTTTTTTTCAAGGAAACTTGAAGAGTTTTGAGCAAGTACCAAAAGCTTTGCAAATCTTTCACAGTGGAGCTGTTTAGTTTCATTCTTTCCCTCCACTTTTTATCTCACCCCCCCCACCTCTCCTCATTCCCCGCCACAGAGCTAGACAGATTTTGCATGTGTATCTGCCAACTGAAGCTAAAATTTCATGGATCTGGAAAGCGGCCTAGTTCAATCCACAGATGCTCATTATATGCTAAGGCTCCTAGCCACACTTCCTGGAGCCTACTTCGCATTTGATTCAACGGGGCTTGCCTCTTGTTGATTAAGACATTTCCACTAAAAAGCCCCGACATAAACCTCCAACACCGTCGGACCGTTTTGTCATCTAAAGGTAAACGGAGACCTTCAGCGTTTTCCTATTGGTTGACGATGATGTAATGCAGCAGAACATACGGGTATCTCTCCCTCTCCCTTTTCTCTTTTCCTGGTAAGTACTGTACTTGAGAGAAGGCCGCTCCAGTGTTTAGCCAATCAAAGACAAGAGTCCATTATTGCCTTGGGGAGTGGAGTAGGGAGGGCGACTTGCTCGATTGCTATTCAAATACCGCCTCGTTCTCATCCCCCTCTGCCCCGCCCCGTTTGCAGCCCTTCCCAATCAGGGTGCAACATTGACGCTCGCCTCTTCTGCTGCTTGAGGAGCTCTTATAAAGGACGCGGAAGCTAGCTAAGATGGGCTCCTTTCTCAGCCAATGGTATGACGATAAAAAAAAATAAAGGCGGGCTAGGGGGAAGTCAGTTTATGTTTTGTAAGAGAAAGAAGTAGTAGGGAATGGGGCGGGGTGAAGAAGTCAATTGGCACTTGTGTGGCACCAATGAAGCTTCATACTACATAACCATGTAGTTTTCTAGAAGCACATAGATGAGGGCGGGAACCTGAGCTGTCGACCAATTGATGAGAAGCTGAGAAAGAGACTCGTACCCAACGGGCGTTGGGGAAACTGAGATTTTTATAAATGGCAAATAAGTTAACCAATCGATATTTAGAATTTGAGGTCTGACAGGTAGAAGATCCAATGGAAATGTGGGTGGTGACCAGAGAGTTTGAATGACCGTCATTGCGACCAGTAGAGGCAAGTCTTTTTTTTTTTTTTTTAAAATACCGGCTCGACTCTCCTCCGAGGTTCTGGTAAGGGAGGGGGCTCTTGTCCCCTCCTCCCACCCGGTGCATTCTGACGTTGCGCGGCAGGGAAGGAGGGAGGGCCTAGTAGCGGCCGCTGGGATACAGGCTTCCAACATGTCTGCGCTGCTGGCTGCGCTCGGGTTGCGAGGGCAGAGGCCGATGAAAGGAGAGGCCGCTGCGTGAGGAGGAGAAAGAAGAAGAAGGAGGAGGCGGAGGCGGCCGCTCGAACTGTAGCCTGACCCGACTCGACGCCTCAGTTGGGCGACGGAGGCTCCTTGCGCGGGCGGGCGCGGAGTTTCTAGGCAAGCTAAGAGGCTGCGGCGCCAGGTACAGGCCCGGGCCGGCTCTTTCGGAGGAAGGATCGTGGGGCGGGGAGTGGGCGAAGGTTGACGGGGAGGATGAGGCCTTGTCAGGCGGGAGACGTCGAGCGCAGCAAAGAACGACGCGGAGTGGAGGGAAGAGGACGGCCTGGGCCTCCGCTGGCGTTGCGGGCGGCAGCAGCCGTGGGGGCTTCTATTTAGCGCGGAGAAAGCGGGATGGCTGAATTTGTATCTACGCTGTAAGGCCGGTGGGGGGGGGGGTATTGAGGCGGTTTGGTGGTCTTCGGTCGGAACAGCGGGATGGAAACGGGCGGGCCGTCTGGGGGTTCTGATCATAGGCCCTTCGTGGCTGATTGCGGCTGCTCTGCGGTGGCCTCCGTGTGGAAGGCGCAGTTTGGGACTGGAGGGAGCTTCTCATGGGGTACAGGCTGAGATGTGGGCTTGGTGAGCGAGATCTCGCCGTTCCCTGGCTTGGATGGGAGGGAGCGGCCTGGGCGGACGGAGGCCCTTCTTCCCAAATATATATTAGGGCTCCGTTATTTGGATCTCGACCACAGGGTGAAATTTTATAGTTCCACTTTAAAAAAAAAATAACGACGCTCACTAATCTGGCCTCCCCGCCTTGCTGATTTTGATAGGATATGCGAACATCTGAAATATTTAGATTCTCTGCAGGGGCGGTGCTGGGATTAATGCAGATCGGGACTAATCTTGCCAAAGGGGACTACTCTTTTCGTGCTAGCCCTGAAGGACATAACCCCACGTTGCTTGTAGTTTTGATGATTTGCTTAGTTGTGAAATCTATACCTTTTGGTGGTTGACTGGAATTCAGTTCTGAGGGCCGCCTATGAACTTGCTGACTAATTTACTTTCATTTATATGCATTACAAAGTGATTTTTAACTTTAGCTCAGTGGAAAGAATGTATAATGTAAATTAAGTTTTAATTTATTTAAATATCTCTATTCAACTCAGTGATTCTCTGTAATTGTGTATTACTTTCTATTCCCTCGTTTGAAGATAGTACAAATGGAAGACAAATTCCTAATTTTACATAAGGATTGAAAAACTAAGATGGTGACTAGAAAGTTGGAGGATAGGTTTAAATTAATTTGCAGTTGCTTTGGAAAAAAACTTGATATTTCATGGGAGTACTAATATAATAATGATGGAGTTGTAAATTTGAACATATTTGGACCCTGTGTTTGATTGCTCAGTGGATATGTAATTATATTTAGCCAAAGAAGTTAATATTGTTAAAGGGAGATGCTGTTTGCATGCTGAAATATTAGATCAGTTAATCTGAGAATTTTTATTCATGTCATATATGGAATAATTAAATTTGTGAGGTATGATTTTTAGCAGAATAAGACAGTAATATATTTAAAAATTCAGTATTTGTAAAGACTAATATCTTACACAGCCTTCTGCCACATATCTGTATGGATAACAGCATCTGTACTAAACTAGTGAGGTTAATCTGAGTACAGAATAGCCTGTTAATGTGAATTTGACACAAGACTGATCTAGGTGTGTGTAACTTGTGAAAAAAATGGGGGATTAAGACTGTTATTTAAGAGTTTATAGAAATGGATCGTCCTTGAAACTTGATATTCTGTTAGTTTCCTACAGCAGGTAATTCAATTGTATACAAAGAGCATCCCCACTATAGTGGAAACCAACCCTCTCCCATACCATTTATGCAGAACTTGCTTTGTGTACAGTGGTAGTGTTCCTTGCTGATTTTTGCTGAAGATCTGACTTGAACATAGTAATAGGATGGCTTCTTTTCCCTAGTATAATTACTTGAAGCTTAAGTCCTTAAAAGTTAAGGTTAGAATCTCTTGCCATCCCTAATATAAACACCATTGTGATTTATCCCAGCTGATTAGACTGGTGTTTTCCCTGCCCCCAGTAGACATTTTCTATTCTGTCACATTATGTTCTTTCTGCAGCTCCTAAGACCATGTCTTCTACTGGTTAGGGTTGTGAAAACTGTGCACAGGTCTCATTTTAATAGAGTGGGGGGAATAGAAACATTGCCTGGGGGAAATGGTTACATGCCACAACTCATCAGCCAAATGTTTAAAGTGTTATAGAATCCTTTCTGCAATACTGCTTTGTAGTGTCATCTGCCTATCATGGCAATATAAAGCCTGTCTTAAATTGGGAATATTGCCCCAACAATAGCTGCATAGTGCTATAAACTGCTAGTGTGGAAATTCTGATGCCTTAAGTCAATATTCAAATCTACATACAGAGATATTGGAATAGGGAAGGAGGGTTGTTTGTTGTCCTGTACTGCAAGAATGCTTGGAGAGGTTGAATACAAGGTAGATTGATTATGCATATGCTAAAATAACTTTGTCTTAATGTTTTCACAAGCTTAGATGATACCACAGACAATATGTACAGTACTTAGAGTTAATATGGCCTTTCAATTAGAGCGTTAAACCTATAGAATCATTCTGAAATCTCTCCTCTCTAATGGCTTAATGCAAACATGGTACATTTTTAAGATCAATATAATGGATAGCAATATTGCATCCTCTTATATATTTAATTGTGGTTGTGGACTGCAGGAAGCAGGTTTGGGATGTATCTGCTTATAATTCCAGTTGTAATTTTCTAATAACTAAAATTGAATAAGGGGAATGGTAACTCACTAAGCTTAGTTAACCCTTGCTGCCAGCTGTCTTAGTTGCCCATCAGTACTACAGATTTCTACCTTTAAAAGGATAGAAAAGACAATATTGATAGGATACAAAAGTGTAGAAATATTCTAATCTTTAATGAGTTGTAGAGCACTGCTGAGTTGGTCAGGTAGCCAAAAAGCTACTTACTGTGTATGTTTAGACATAAGCCATCTTATTTTTTTGTCACATGAGTGTCTATATTGTCTAAAATCTTCAGTGTAAAATCACGAGAGCATTTTACTTCTTAGTTGAGGACTTCTGGCTATTTTAAACTGGACAATAGTACTGCTAGAATTTATTAACAAAATAACATTTGGGATGTGTAAAGTGATCCTGTAACTTCTTTGAGGCTTTAGAAAAGAAGGATTGCAATTCATGACTGAAAGAGCTGGTTCTTACTGTGAAATCCTGAATGCCTTAGGTCTTACCCTAAAGATACTGTACTTAACCAAATAAAGCATGCATATTGTACAAATTCACAAGAATGCTAAAAGCATGTAAGAGGCATGTTTTTCAGTGGCTGTTTTACAACAGTAGAGCTTCATTTCTCTGGAGTTCTGCCAAAAGCCAAATAGTAGCTTGACCATTTAAAGCGTATGAATTGTTTATGTTTAGAGGGAACTGAAATAGCCAAGAAGCCTGGTGTCTTGGCACCCATTGAATTCTTCCTTAATATTCTCCTATTCCTCAGCTGCGGACCCTAGTATACAGTCTCTTTCCCCCTCCCCCTCTTTTTTTTTTTGTGTCCAGTGTTAAAGGTGAAGCTATTTTTAGTTCTTTTTCTAATAAATGCTTTGCTTTATCTGAATATCTGAAAAAGGGTACTGCAAATTTTCCAGAGCTTAAAGGACACAGAAAACTTTTACTTTAGTTTGTCTTAATCATTGAAACTTAGTGAAAGCAGTGACTCCATTGCATTCATGCCTTGTTCCTTTGACTTGCCACATTTTTTTTGAATTAGAAATGAGAGTGCAAATGCCTTGGTGTATAAATATATGTCTTGTTTTATTAATCTGAAAAAGTACAATGCAAGGGTTTGATAAGGAGGTTCAGAATCTGAATCTCTAAGGAAAAGTTGTTACATAATGAGCATCAGGTTGGTTATGAGCAATATACCTTTCACTATTAGTTTTACTAGCTTTCAGTAGTTAAGACAGACTAATGTCTGCAATTACATGAGAACTTTTCAGATACTGAAATAAATGTATTTGTGGTCTCCTTATCTCATGTTCCAATTTTTAAATTCTCCCTTTCTTCTTGAGAAGCTGTACAAAGCCAGTTTTTCATGGAGTTGAAGATTATGATTCTATAACAAGTTTTATAATGAGCTGTTGTAGAATAAATCAGTAGCAAGACCACTGTTAATATAGTGTATGACAAGTGGTGGACAAGGTGAAAGATGTTGGTTAGAAATATTTATATAGTTAGTTTGGAAGAGTAAAATGGGAATATGTCTGCTTTGCTCTCATTCAGGAAGAATTAGGCTACATACCAGGAAATTTTTTTCAAATCATAAATATTTAGATAGTAGAAAATATTTAGATAGCAGAAATGAATAGCTTTTACTAGATGTTTCATTTGCTGCTCAGTTGAGGTTACCAAATCATTCAATAATGGATGCTGTTTTAAAGATTCTTGTTAACTCCAAATACAGATGTTATTGGCACATAATAGAGAGCTGCAGTATACTTGCAAATATATGGAAGCATGACTCTGTAGGAATAACTAAATCTTTTTAAGTTGCTTTCAAAGTACATGGATAATATGCAAACATCTGACAGTTCAGAAAAGAAAAGCATTAAAACAAATTGCAGAGAATTTCTAATTTTTGAGCCCAGCTCAATCATACAATAGGATGGAAACCTCAGTATACAAATCTGCAGAAATTAAAATTTCATTCTGTTCTTTACAAGAGTAGTCACTTTCCTTGAATATTGGGCCCTCTTGAACTTGGGAATTGTAAGAACTGTATTTCTTACAGGAGCTGTCAGTTCAACCTTCCATTTGAATAACACTTTCTGCATAGTTAAGTTATTAACTAGATTGTGTTATTAGTTTTGATGTATAATGGATATTCCTTTAGCAACTAGTTTTATTGTGTGATTTCCTGAACCTCACAGCATATATTATACCACGTATTGTTACATATAGTAGCCCAATAACATAGACATTTTGGATTTTTTTTCAGCATACTTATCATTTTTTTTCCTGCCTTATAACCCATCAACCTCATCATGCAAAAAAGTTCATGTTTTCATTTTTTTAAAAAATGAGTCTTATACACACACACAAACACACAAACACACACACAC